CTCTCCCCTCCCTCATGAACCCTTGATAATTTATATGAACAGTGTTTTTAAGGGCAAATATTTAGGATTAATTTTAAATTTTAGAATTTAACTGTTCCGCAAATTTAGCCCTTGGAGGGGGACACAATATTTCACAGCCCCTTAAATATACTGTATCGATATATGCCTACCAAGACAACACTGATGACATCAAGAACATGCTACAGGAAGAGAGCCAAAGGCCATTTGGGAGACAGGAAAGAAAGGCAAGACCAGAGTCTATGTCAGAAGAGACTCTGACACTTGTCCTTGAACGCAGAGCAGCTAAAGCACCTGAAAGAAGCCACAAAGTAAAAGAGCTGGATGGTAAAGTTCAAAGGCAGCTCCCAAGAACACAGGAGAGTGGTTAATGAAGTGAGCAAAGACCTGGAGTTAGAAAAGCCCAAACGGAGGAATACAAGCAGCATCTCTCGACCTACAAGAACTGAAGTGGGGAAAAGCCCCCAAACCTCAAGCCTTGAGTTGCAATGTTGAAGGATTCTGTGGACAAAATATTGACTGATGAGGCCAACGTTGGCTGACATCCAACCATTTCAAGAGGGTGCCTATGATCAAGAGTCAATCGTACTGAAGGAAGAATTCTAAGCTGCACTAGAATTAGCACATTAGGCATTAGTGGAAAACAAGAATCTGAGGATGAATGTCGTGGTGATCAAAAATGCTTCTCAAGAAAACGGAGGCAGTGCTGAAGCACTCGCTAGTTTATGCCAAACACTGTAGACGGCAGTTATCAACTGACTAGCAGATCCGCGTGTGAGCCGCTCCCCAAGAAAGGAGACCCAACAGACCGTGAGCATCATTGAACAATATCATTAGCGTCACATGCAAGTAAAACTTTGCTGAAGATCTCTAAAACGGGTTTCAGCAGCACATGGACTGGGAGCTGCCAGAAACTCAAGCCAGATTCAGAAGAGGAGGGTGGAATAAGGAATATTAGTGCTGACATCAGCTGGAACGTGGCAGAAAGGAGAGACTACCAGAAAGGGGGTTGTTTGTGTTTTATCAACGATGCAAAGGCATTCGACTGTGTGGATCGTGACAAACTATGGATGGCCTTGAGAAAAACGGGGATTCCGGAGCACCTGTGCTCACGCGGAACCTGTACCTGGATCAAGAGGCAATTGTGTGACTAGAACAAGGGAACACTGCAGGGTTTACAATCAGGAAAGGCGTGTGCAAGGGTAGCAGCCTTTCGGCACACACATATCCAATCTGTACACGGAGCAGAGTAATCCAAGAAGTGGGTCTAGCTGAAGAAGAACGTGGCATCGGATTGGAGGAAGGCTCATGGACAGTCTTCCATGAGCAGATGGCATGACCTGGCATGTGAAAGCCAAGACCACTTGAAGCACTGGGTGATGAAGATCAAAGAATACAGTCTTCCACATGGGCTTCCACTCAATGTAAAGAAAGGGGAGAAATCTTCACAACGGGACCGACAGACAGGATCACGGTAAACAGAGACAGAGTGACATTATCAAGGGCTTCCTTTCGCTTAGGTCCACAACCAAAGCCCGCGAGAAAGCAAAGCCCGGCCAAGACACCAAACAACAGATGGCTTTGGACAAATCTGGTGCCCAAGACCTCTTTCCAGTGCCGCAGAACCAAGGCAGCACTTTGAGAACCAAGGTGCATGCAGGTGACCCACACCATGGTGTTTTAATTGCCTCACCTGCTTGTGAAGGCTGGACCAGGCCTCAGGAAGACAGGAGAAGAATTGTTGCATCTGAATTAGGATGTTGGCAAAAAGCAAAAACACTGAATAACAAATGGATTGCCAGAAGGACAAACAAATCCTTCTGGGAGGAAGTATAGACAGACTACTCCTTCGAAGCCGGGATAGCGAGACTGGGGACATGTTCTCATGAGAGATCTGACTCTCATGTTCTCATGAGAGATCTGTCCCTGGGAGATAATGCCATCCTGGGTGAAGCAGAGGGTCAGCCAACTAAGAGGAAGACCCTTAATGGGATGGATTGGCACAGCGGCTGCGACCAGGGGCTCAGACAACCGCGGTTGTGAGGGTGACCTGGGAATGGGAAGTGTTTGGCTCTCTTGGGAATGAGGTTCCTTGGTGCTGGAGCTAACTCAGGGGCACAGAGCCACAAGAGATCCCTGCACATCCACCCGGGCTTTAAGTTACTGTACACCTGTGGGGGGAGGTCAGATGCACAGGCATTCCCTCCCCTGAAGGCAATCAGTTGCCAGACTGCTGTCTCATCCCACCACGAGTGGGCCTGCTCCCTGCCTCTGGGGACAATGGACAGGCTCCTGTAGGAGGGGTTTGCACCCTACTGATAATGTTCCTATGGAGACCCAGAGACCACCCCCTAGACCACCCTCTCATTGCTGTGTAACCTATAGTGCAGCTCCTCCCTGTGACCTATGTCTCTACCTGTAATTAGTGGGCTGGCTTGCCCCCAAAAGGTATATAGGTGTGAGTCAGCAATATATCTCTCTCTCTGACTCTGAGCCCCTTGCTGCTCACTCCCTGGTCACTCCAGGACAACCGCGCAGACACAGAGGCGTGGACGGCACATGGAACACGCAGACAACCATCTGGCAGGAAACTGCCGTTCAAGTCATTTGAAGGTCTCCTGGGGGGCATGACGGTGGCTGCTTTTCTTCTTGTTCATTGTCTCTAGTCTTCTCTCGCAGGCATGCCCGTTAACAAGCAACAAAGGTGGAGAACCAAATGTTTACATCCTCCTGTAGCTCCCCCCTTTGCCCCCGCCCCCCCTCACCCTCCAGCTACTTTCAATCATTTGCTATAGATCTTTCTAGATCTTTCCTTCCAATCCACCCTGTATGTCTTTCTAAACTCGTTGTATCATCAGGGGAAACTGGGGCCAGGGGAAAAGTAGACAAGCTGAATCGAGGCGCCAAAGAAAAGGAAGGGATTTTCTTGTAAAGCGAGCCTCAGGGAGGTGGGTGGCCTGGCCTCGCGGGCCCACACGGTGCGGTGCCAGAGCAGAGCTGGGCACCCTGCAGCCCTGGGGAGGGAGACCCCAGGATGCTCTGGGCTGGGCTGGGTTGGGCTGGGCGAGGTCCTCTTCTGTTTGCTGAGGGTGCAGGTGGTTGGAGGACAGTGGGGCATCTGTTTAAAAAAGGGCCAAAGTCTCCATTTACAGCCTCAGGGGAGTTAATGTGTAACATCCTAGGGTATAAGCCCGAAAAAGAGGTGAGGCCCTGCGCACAGATCTCGAGGAGTCCCAGAGTGTCCCCGGAGCTGTCACTGGAGCCGTCACTATGCCGGTGAGGCTGCCTGGGGTCCCCACTGCCCCCTCCCCCATTCATCCATGTCTTTGGGTGGGAGTGGGGTGCCTCAGGGTAGAGACCCTCTGTAGGAGGAGGATGCTAGGCCATGGGTCTCCACTCTCCCGCACTGACTAAACCTCGGCCTCTTTCCCCAAACCAAACCCGCTGATGGGGAACTGCTTCCAATTCACAGTGACCCTACCATTTCCAAAGCTGCAACCTTTACAGAAGCAGACAAGCCTCGTCTTTCTCAGGAGGAGGGCTGGTGGGCTCAAACCACTAACCTCTAGATTCGAAGCCCAGTAGTGAGCCCACTGCACCACCAGGGTCCCCCCCAAGCCCCCCCCACCCCCCGCCTCAATGTCACCCTTCGTAATGATGATGGCACTGTTAACGTCTATTGAGGGAGCTGGGGGAGCGCTCAGTGGTTAAACACAGGACTGCTAACGGAAAGTTCAGTGGTTCGAGCCCACCAGCTGCCCGAGATCTGCTCTCTGCAGGTTACAGCAGAGGACACCCTAGGGGCCCGTCCCCTCTGTCCTATAAGGGTGGTTACGCATTGGGAAGAACTTGCCCATGCACCGCAACTTCTATGGAGCTTTCTCAAGATGAGCGAACAGGCTCAGAGATCAGACCGCCCAAGGTCACCATCCATCAAGGGCAGGGGTGGGTGGAGTGGGTCCTGTACGAAGCCCCAGGGATGCTGATTCCTAACCCGGCTCTGCCAGAGCCTGCTGTGTGGCCTCAGGTGAGGCACTGCCCCTCTCTGAGCCCCAGCCTCCGGAATCTGAGCATCACAGCTGCCCTCCATCCCCACCCCGTGAGGATCGAACGAGGTGCCACCTGGAGAGACCATGTGCCTCCCAGGGAGGCCGACTGTGGGGCACCCCACTCTCCACTGGGTCCCCCTGCTTTCCTCACTCCTATCTTCTCCAGGGACCCCTCACCCAAATTCTCCCAACACAGATGGGAAACCCCCAAGTCCACAAAGGGGAGAGGCTGACCTCAGGTCCCTCAGCCCGTCAGTGGTGGAGCTGGGAATACACCCCAGTCGTACCTTACAACCCTGGCGCAGCAGGGGTAAGGGTGGCAAGCCAGATCCTGTTTGTAGAGAGGAGGCAGGTGCCTGCGGGTGGCGCTGGTCACATCACCTGCCCTGCCCAGCCCTGAGGTGAAGCGCCTGGCCGATGGGTGGACACAGGGCTTCTCAGGCTCAGCAGCTCCACTGAGAAAAACCCACAACAGTGAACAGAACTCACCACGGAGATGCTCTCCCGTACATGGCGAGAGACCTTGGGTGCCTGTTTGGCCCAGCACCTTCACCCCCACCCTCCCTTGGGGGTGGGAAAACTGGGCCTTTCCTAGACTTGGGTAATGAGCTTGGAAAGCCCAGCCCCACACTGCTGGGACCACACACATGTCCGCTCCGTCCAGGGAACACGGGGACTCGCGGCAGATGGGAGCCCTCAGAGGTAACCCTAACGAGGGCCCTCGCCTGGCCTTTCATCGGAGACTCGGCTGCTGGGGGCTTTGCGGCCATGCTCTGGAGCCCCCCTCCCCAGGCAGCTGGAAGGTGGGTCTTATTCCCCTGGGTGTCTCCGCAACGGCTTTGGAGTGCGTAGTCACACAAGTGAGCACCGGAAAGGGACTTTGGTAGGTGCGTTAGTTCACATGTCATGGAAGGAGTTTTCTAGGAGCCCTGGTGGTGTAGTGGGCACTCATTGGGCTGCGATCCACATGATCAGCAGTTCGAAACCACCAGCCTGGGCTTTCTACTCCTGGGCTTTCTACTCCCATAGATGGTTACCGTCTCAGAAACCCAGAGGAGGACTGCTATGAGTTGGACCTCTGGTTCTGTGTCCCGTTTTGAAAGTCATCCCAGGTTTGGAGCAGGCACTAAGCACAGCCACCGGAGCTTTGGGAAGGACTGGAGGAGGCTCTTGTGCGCTCAAGCATCTTCGGAAGCCAGCAGGGGCCGCTCTGCTCTACCAAGTCCAGGGCTGGGCTCTGCGCCTGCAGATGCTGCAGTTCCACAGGCCGGCTGAGAGGAGAGCGCAGTGGAGGGGGCTCTGGGCTTCTCCTTCCCCTCAGGCAGGCAGGGACCGAGGAGTGGAAACCTCTCCTTTAGGACCAGGTGGAATGAAGCTCTGGGTCATGGGATGCTTCTCTGTTGGCGCAGGAAGAATTTGAGGTCAAAAACATGGACGTGAAGTCCGGGACTACCCTGAAGATCAAGGGCAAGATTGCCGACGGCACTAATGGGTAAGGAGGGGGTGGGGTGGGGTGGGGGGACTTCCCACAGACCAAAGCAGGTGCAGTGGCCTTGTGAGGTATCCCATGCCAGCCTGTCTACCCTGAGAGATGCCACAGGCTAAGGGGGCAATGGTGTGCTTGTTCCTTCTCATGTTAGTAGGAAGCTGGGTTTGGAGACCATCAGAATCGCACAACTGATGCCCCCAACAGCCACTGAAGGGGGAGGAGCCCCGCCCAGCCCCCAGCAGGTGGGAGCACAGAAAGGCCAAGCCCCCAGGGGCACAGGTCCCTTCCCAGGGCTGGCCAGCCACCAGGGGGCATCAGTGGTCCCCTTTGCAGCTCCTCCCTACCTGGTGGGGTCACAGCCCAGCAGGGCTCACCTGTGGGCAGACAATTCTAGTGGTTCTGGGGACGGATCTTCACCAGCTTTGGGCTGGGAAGGGGGAGCAGTCAAGAGGAAAAAGGATCCCATGCAGAAATATGGGGTACCCCTGAAACCTCCAGGAGCCCAGCAAGTCTAACTGAGGCTCCTGTCACAATGCTGCCACGGGGTCCCAAATGTATACCTCCAGTGACGGGACACTTTCCTCCTCCTCCCCCGCCCCCCCCCCCCGGGGGGGGGGGCACCTGCTTATAGCCAAACGGAGTGGGTTTCAGAGTTCCCAGGACAGCCATGAGGGGCATTACATGTCAGTCAGAAGCCTGTGGGCTGTGCTCCTGTTGGGTGATCATGCTCAGTGGCTTGTCATCGCCCTCGTCTTCAGGTGGGGTACACGCTGGGCCGCTAGTCTAAAGGTAAGCAGTTGGGAACCACCAGCTGCCCGTGGGAGAAGGATGAGGCTTTCTACTCCTACGAAGAGTTACCGTCTCCCAACCCGATAAGGGGCAGTTCAATCCAGGCCTACAGCAGCGGTTCTCAACCTCTCGGTCGGGACCCCTTTGGGGGTCAAACAACCCTTTCACAGGGGTCACCCGATCCATCACAGTAGCAAAATGACAGTGATGAAGTAGCAACGGAAATAACTTTCTGGTTGGGGGTGGTCACCACCACAAGGACGTGTATGAAAGGGTCCCGGCATTCGGAAGGTGGAGAACCGCTGTCTTACAGGGTCGCCGAGTGGGGATGGACTCCATGGCAGTGAGTTTGTGCTACCGCAGCATGTCTCTGGTGTCTCCTCCAGCCGGTGGGCAACTAGAACAGTGCCCCCTCCCCATGCATGGCTTGACCCGGAAGGACCCCCTAACCCTCTCCACTTCTCCAGTTTTTCGATTAACCTAGGTCAGGAGGCTAACAAGCTGAACCTGCACTTCAACCCCCGCTTCAACGAGTCCTGCATTGTCTGCAACTCCATGGATGGCAGTTGGGGCAAGGAACAACGCGAAAGCCACCTTTGCTTCAGCCCAGGGTCAGAGGTCAAGGTGAGGTGCATGGGGAATCGGGCCTGGGGTGAATGTCAAGGGCGGGGGGGCCCCAAGCCCCTGCCCTGGCTCATTTCCAGGGGCATCCTGCCTCCCTTCTCCCCTCTCATGTAGTTCACCGTGACCTTCGAGAACGAACAGTTCCAGGTGAAGCTGCCAGACGACCACGTGGTGACCTTTCCCAACAGACTGGGCCACAGCCAACTGAGTTACATGAGCGTGAAGGGGGGGTTCAAGGTCTCCTCCTTCAAGATTGAATGAGTGGGCAGTACCCACCTGAATAAAACGCCTCCGATTCCTGATCACTGCCGCTCCAGTGACCGGGCCCTGCCCCGCACTCCCTCCAGCCCCCTGTACCACTCTCTTTCCCAAGGGTGTGGGAGAACCAGAGAACCTGCCCGGATCATGCCTTGCTGTGGCAGGACATGCAGTCTGTGCTGCAGAGGCACGTGGATGTTGAGGGCACCCTCCGGAAACCGATACATCGAGGCATAAGGATACAGACCACCCGACAGAGGAAGCCCAGGCTCCCGACCACCTGGACCCCGTGGGTGCAGGACAGAACTGCCCCTGGGTCTTCAAGGATGGGGTCGCTCAGAGGGGACTGGTGGGCATCTTCTGAGGTGCCGTTGGGTGGGTTTGAACTGCCGACTGGTTGGCTAAGAACAGGCACCTTAACCTTTGTGCCAACCAGTGATCTCTCCACGCCAGCTTCCTATTACCCCAGGGCACAGACCAAGCTGCTCCTGTGGGATTATGGGGCAAGAAGCTGGGACAGGGCTGTTCCCGGAACTGCAGATAAGGGCCCCCACCTGGGCCTCTTATCAAGGGGACATTCCATCTGGGTTACTCATTACTCTGCCCAGGGTCCTCACTGGGGGCCCTGAGGGGGGTCCAGGGCTTCCTATACTCCCTGGAGAGCAGGCTGCTAAGGCTGGGCCTGGAACCACCCCTTCTCCCCCGCCGCCCCCCAAGTCCCCAGCATGTCCCCAAGCTCTAAGCATCTCACAAAGCACATTTTATCAAAAAGCCCTTTTTAATCAGGCTCAGGGGTGGCCTGGGGTGCACAGGAAGCTGGGTGCCTTCCCCCGTGAAGTCGCACCAGACCTTTCTCCAGGTTTCTGGGAGAGTGTGGGCAGGTTGGGTGGGTGCTCAGGCCCAGTAGGGGCTGGGAGGTGGAGGGGCGGGGGGCAACCTCCCCTTTGGGAGAGCAGACAATGGCCTTGTGTGCCCGGGCCCCCGCTGCTGAGGACAGCTCTGCACAAAGGCTGCACTGTGAGGCTGGCCAGAAAGGGGGTGGCCAGGGGGCGGGGGGAGAAGGGACAGGACATGCAAGGAGTGGCCACTGGGTGCAGAGTGGCAGTGGGGGAGGCGGGCCAGTCTGGCAGGGTGCTAGAACCCAGACAAGCCTGGCCCTTCTGTATTCCCCTCCCAAGTCCGTCCTGCAGAGGCACGGCTTAGACAAAATTCGGGTTTCCCATTTCTCATCTGGCAGCACCTCTCTCTCCAGGGGACCATGAGGGGTGGCTAATCCAGTCAAGGTCCTGAGCCCCAGGCCCAGGACGATGGGCCCAGCCCAGCCCCTCACACCTTGACCTCATCATCTTCCTCTCTATCACTCAGCACAAAGGTATCAGTTAAGACGGTGCTGGGTACGGGGCCCCTGCCACGGGAGGTTCCTCGCTGGCCATCCTGGCCCTCCCAGGAGGCCTCGGCTTTGGGCAGCACCTCCACCAGCTCCCGCTGGACACCCTCCTCCATGTGCGGGTGGCTGTCCCCACAGCCTGCTCCCCAACGCCGGCCAGGGGCCGAGCCTGAAAGTGCACGGGGACCCTCGAGCGCTGAGTTGGGCCCCGCCCCAGTCCCTGTGCTGGACCCAGCGGTCACCCCGTTAGGGCAGTGTCCACGGGGGGGCCGGGGGCTCATGGCAGGGGCTATGGGGTTCGAGGTGGGAACGGGGGCGGGGGTCTCAGCTGCAGGGTCGTCTGAGAAGCTCATGACCCCCAGGAACTCGCTGAGGAGGGAGGGCCCGAGGTCCAGGTCCAGGCGGAAGGACAGAAGGGAGTCTGAGCGGCGGAGCTGGGGCTCGGTGGGGAGGGAGCTTTCCCGGTCCTGGTCCCGGTCCCGGTCCCGGGTCTTCTCCTGGCGAGGCAGGCGGGCGATGGTACAGAACCCTGAGTCCAGGCCTGGAAGAGACATGCGGACGTGGACAATCAGGCCTGGGAGCCCGAGTCTGGCTGGAGGTGGGGGGGGGGAATGGAATGGGACTAGGGAATCTCTAAGTTTGTAAACCCCCATGGAGTGGATGGTAGGGGCGTCACTAGAGAACTTCACGATGGACAGTCAAGAGGGGATTCCCTGGTGCTCCCTTGGACTTGTGCCTGGGGACATGTGCTGCCCCACGCATGCATGTACCCACCCACCCAGTGATAGACCAGCATTGGAAACGGACTGCCTACACCTCAGAATGGAAACAGAGCATGTGCCTTCCCAGTCATCTCGCCCCACCTTTTGCCTCCTGGGCCGCCAGGCTTGAGACCTAATGGACACTTGGGGCCACTGCCCTGTGGGGTGCTGAGCAGCCCCCTAGGGGAGTGGGATGCAGTGGAGGCTATCTCTGGTGTGGAAGCTGCAGGAAAGGGAGTGGCCACCAGGTGGGCAGCATGAACCCACAGGTCCAGGCTTCTCTCCTGCCAGCTGGGCCAAGGAGAACCCCGCTGCCACTCTGGCTAGGGCGGGAAGGGCCTTTGCTGTTGTCCACGTGAGCGCCTTTCCAAGTTTGTCAATTACAGAAACCTTTGTGCAAATAACAAAGGTTCACATGCTCTGAGCACCTACCATGTACCAGGGTCTGGGCCCCGCTCGCGACATGCCTCATCCTGAGGCCTTGCAGTTTTTCCCAAGGCCGGCTGGACAGAGCCGGAATCCCGATCCAGAGCGCTGGCTCTTAACCTCTCCCTCTCATCAGTCTGACACAGGGGGCTGCTTTGGTTGGAGGGAGCGGGAGGGGCCCGAGGGAGAGGGGTTTGCCTGAGTCACATGCGGAAGTCCCCTCTCCACCTGGATGTGTTTGAGGTGGGCAACGGACAGACAGTCTGGTTTCCAACAGATCCCACCCACCCAGGCCCCGGGGTTTCAGCACCATGGGAACCGTCAGGCCTCAGCCACGGACAAGCAGGCACGGAATTGGGCGCTCACCGTAGCTGGAGCTGCCGCCTGTGGAGCAGGCCGGGCTGCTGTCAAAGCTGAGCTTGCCCACCAGGAGGCTGTCGTAGGCTGCCTGGTTGAGCTGCGGCAGGGAGATGGCGTTCTTGATGATGGGGGAGATGGCGGGTGGGGCCGGGGAGGGCCCCGGTGGAGAGGCCATCCGCCGGGGCAGAGCCCCCACCCTCCGCACCTGCTGCAGTTTCCTGGCCAGGAAGCTCCGGGGGGAGCGGTGGGTTCTCCCGGAGCTGCCACCATGGTTGCTAAGGAAGGAGGTGTCCCCAAAGACGTCCCCACCTCGGCCCACGTGCATGGTGTGGCGGAAATCCCCAAGTGGGGGGCTGATCATGTCGGCTGTCAGCCGCCTCTTCCCCTGTGAGCTGGACACCCAGCCCACGGGAGAGAGCTTGCCAAGGCTCATGGTCGGGGCCCCTCCGGCCCCCTGGGTGCCTGGCATCTGAGCGGGCTGCTCACAGCGGCTGGTCCATGCCCACGGGGCCCAGAGCCCGACGCCTCAGTTCCCTCTGGATGGTGTCCTAAGGTGCTACCCCCAAAGACTGAGGCTGGGGGGTGCCCATGGCTGGTATCTCCCGGAGCCCCGGCTTCAGGTCCTGCAGAAGCAGCTGTCACAACTGGGGCAGTGGGCAGAGGGCGGGCCACCTGTGGAAGGCACCTCTCCGGGCTGCGGATGGAGACCTGGAAGGACAGAGAGGAGGGTGACAGGCGGAGCTCATGCTGACAAAATGCTGAGCATAAGCCGGACTTCAAGGAGCACCAAAACAAACAAACAAATAAACCGACTGTCATCGAGTGTTGTGGTACTCAGGGGCATCCTGTCGGGCAGGGTAGAACTGCCCCTGTGGGTTTCTGAGATTGAAAATCTTCACAGGAGGAAGAAGGGTCCTCTCTCTCCCAGGAGGCTGGGCATTTCAAACTGCTGACCTTGCGGTTGGCGGCCCAATGTGTACCCACTACCCCACCAGGGATCCCTCCTTAAAAGCACATGCTGAGCTGGTAGAAACTACAGGATTCTTTAAACCCTCGATGCCATTGAGTTTGCTCCTACTCACCCGCCCTGCAGGATGGGGTAGAACTGCCCCTGTGAGTGTCTGAGACTGGGCCTCTTCAGAGGAACAGAAAGAGCCTTCTTTCCTTAGAGGAGAGGCTTAGTGGTTTCACCCTGCTGCCCTTGCAATTCACAGCCCAACATGTAACCACTACACCGGAGTCACCCGGGCTCCTGGGGGAAAGTGTGTATATGGCAGTGTTTTCCTAAGTACGGGATATAGGCCCTGGGGGGTGCTGGACCAGACGGGAGGGACGGCCAAAGCAGATGCCCACACTTTATGCTAGATCAGCGGTTCTCAACCTTCCTAATGCCGCAGCCCTCTAATACAGTTCCTCATGTGTTGGGGACCCCCCAACCATAAAATCATTTTTTTGTTGCTACTTCATCGCTGTCATTTTGCTACTGTGATGAATCGGACGACCCCTGTGAAGGGGTTGCTCGACCCCAAAGGGGTCGCGGCCCACAGGTTGAGAACTGCTGTTTTGGATGATAGGTTACAGTTCAAATGTTGGTCATTGCCAGGGGAGGAGTTGTCACTTATTTTACTTCTACAAAAGGGGCGGTAGGCCAAATAAATTTGGGGACCTACCGTACCATGATACAGGGGTCACTTGCAGTACACATGGAGAGCCCTGAGGAAGGCATGCTTAACAGAGGAGAAAAAGGAAGGGGCAGAGAAGTGGAACCACTTGCCCATGGCCATGCAGTAGGGGGCTGGTGACCTCATGCACCAGAGCCCTTGGGCTCCAGGGTCTGTGGCCTCTGGCTGGTCTGTGGGTAAGATCTCCCACCCCAAGGTGTCAGGAGGGGGCAGGCAAGAGGGAAGGTGAACTGCTATACACAGCCTCCCTCCCCCCACCTCAGAACCCTCCACCTTCAAGGTGCTCCCTGCCCCCCCAAAAAAGGATCCTGTGACCAAGTTGCTTTTTCCAGCAGCCTCTGACAAAGGACCTTCTCAGAGAACTTGTTTTAAGAAAAGCTCAGCAGGGGTCCAGAGCGCTCCCCTCCAGGCCTCCTCTTACCCGCCCCCCCCGCAATCCCACTCTGGACTAAGGTCCCACGGTCAGTCCTCTCCATCTGACCCCCTCCCTTCCCATATCATAAAAAATCCAGGCTAGAGGGGCCTCCATGAGCCAATGGTCTGGCCCCAGGTTTGCCCCTGACCCAGGGGAGGGTCAGCTTTGCTGGGTCCCATTCGAAGAGCTAGTCGGGACTTGAACTCAGAGCCTCTGACTCATGGCGCCCTGGACTGGCTTGTGGAGCCCAGTCTTGTCTCCCCAGATCGGCAACATGTGCGGAGGGTGGGGCAGCAGCCTCGTAGCCTGACTTGGCCTGCCTTCTGCCCTTCTTTCCCAGCACCTGGCTCGCTTGGGCTCCAGCACTGCACACAGCCAGTCCCAATCCCCAGAAACCTTTGTGATAACCTTCACACCACAGCATTGCCCCACCCCCTCCCCACCTTCTTAGTATTAGGCTGGAGACTCCATGTCCTCACAGTGTGACCTGGGACAAGTCGTTCACCTCCAGGGGCCTGGATAAGGCTTGATAAGATTTCAACAAGAACACTTAGAAGGTGCCTCAGAGAATTTTTTTTTTTAATCTCTGCTGCCATTTCCCAGTAGAAAAATCTCAACACTGCTCTTCTAATGTTATTTGAAATTCAAAATAGGTTGAATAACCAGATAAAAAACAAAGAGGGCCACAAGACAAAGCCCGCTTTGTTTTCACGACCACATTCTCTTCCCTTCCCACCATCTGACCCTCCCCCTGACCCTAGCTCCTCCCCCTGGGGGGTGTTTCTGAATAATTTCTTTTCCTGGTACCCACCCCCACCCCCACCACGGCACCCAGAAGGGCACGTGGAATGTTTGTTGAAGTTACGGAGCGCCAACCATTCCATGATGTCATCCAATTCTCCAACATCTCCTTGAGGATGGTGAGGGAAGGGACTTGGCCAAGGTCATACAGCAGGTGTCTGCCAAGGGCCAGATGTCCCTGCTTACCAAGGAGCCAGGGACACTCTGTCCAGGAAGGAATGTGCCACTTGTTGGTGGTCACCGTGGCTGCTGTGTGGTCACCCTGCCTTGTCCTCAGCCCCACCTCTCTGACTCCTGACAAAACCCCTTCTCTGCCCCTCCCCCAGCAAGGGGACCCATGTGCCCACCCAACCCCCACCCCTCTAGGCCCCTTTGACTGAAGGGCCAGTCTCTTCCCCAATCTCAACACGATGCCACCTCTCCAATGCCTCTGGGTGCCTCAGCTGCAGTAGGGGCTGGGTGTTGGGAGGGCCAGGTAAGACTGTGCAGGTGGCCGACATTAAGGGCAGGGCATTGCCATGCAGGCCCACTTCTCCATGTAGAAACTGGGAACAGCCCCCTGGGGATGGGGAGAGGGTCGCTCCCAGAAGTGGAAGGTACTGTGGATCCTAACACATGGCAGCCCTGGGTTCAAATTCAATCTCCTCATGCTATGGTCACTCATCCCATTAGGGCTCAGGTGAGGACCGCAGGGCATTGCTGGTGAACAGGTCGCCTCCCTGATACTGGGGGCAGCTGGGCTCTGAGGTCCTGGCCAGGGCTCACCGACCCCACTGGTCCAGCAGCAGCACCAGATTGGAGAGACAATGAGGCAGTGGTAGAACCCTGGCCGGATTTCAGGGGTATCAACAGCTAAGGTGGTGCATATGGGGGTGAGGGGCAGGAGGAACCAGGCAGGGTGAAGACTACGGAGGCGGGAGGGGGTGGGCGTTCTTGCCTGGCGTCAACCCACAGAGCCCAAGGGAGCAGACCAGGGGGGAGGCAGGAGAAAGACTGCATGTGCTGTGTGTTCAGTACCTGTGACCCTGAAGCCCTGGTGCACGTCTTTCAAACGGAGCCCTAATATTTACTCTGTGGGAGGGCAGTCAGAGCCCGGAGCAGGGGAGGTGCTCACCCAATAGCGGTGTTTTGACCCCAAGGGCAAGCTTTGGGGCCTAGCCTGGGGCTTTGCCTTACAGGAGGCCAGCAGAGGCACTGTGGAGACAGGCGCAGAGAATGGAGCGAGGTGTGGACCAGCTGACCCCTTGGCTCTCACCTGGGGGTTACTAGCTGCCTAAAGGGCCTGCCTGTCTTAACTCCAGGCCACTGCTCGTCCAAGTCCGGCCGGGTGACATGGGCCCTGTCAGCAGGTCTCCGCTAGGGTGGGGACCAGGGCTCCCCCCGAAACCTACGTGGGCCCTGGAGTGTGTGGTTCTGGCCCTGAGGCCAGCTTCCCACTCAACTTTGAGTCCAAGCACCTCAAGGTGGGCAGGGGAAACAGCAGGAAAGGGCTGGTGGGATGCCTTTGCCACACCGAGAGCCCAGGCCCCGGGGCACCGGCAGGTGGGGAGTTGGAAGGACCACCTCAGAGTGCAGGGGCCACGCCAGCCGAAATTAAAGCCAAACCTGTCCTCACTCGGGTGACGAGAGGTGCCTGCCCGGTTCCCCCAGCACGGAGACCCAGTCCCCGACCATGTGTTCGGGCCGCTGTCCCTTGGCCCACAAAATGGGCTTCCACGCGGGCGGCTCTGGCGTGGTGGGGACGCCCGAGGGCAGGCTGGCCTCGGGGCAGAGAGGGGAACTCTGCGAAGGTCTGGGGCCAGCATTCCAGCGGGGTCGCTCCCCGGGGAGGGGGCA